AGTCTGAAACCATTGGCGTAGCTAAAAATGCCTTATGACCAACGAAAACGCGAATAATTGGGTTGCATTGGGGTCTTGTCAAAACACCAATTTTACAATTTCGCGAGCTGTTGTTGTTCTCCCACAGGGGCAGTACACTACTTCATCTGACGCACTGGTCAACATTGTGTTTATTTACATTCATTTATCAACTTGTTGATATTTGCGTGGGAAATTTGGAAATTTTCTTGTTCAGTTTGGGCTTTGCAACTGTCATCGTCCCCGATAACGTTGGGAATTTAAGGTTAGAAGGTACACGTAAAGACACGAAAATGCAGTAGAGACGGGGTTTTGGAAACCTTGGCGTTCGTTCATAACTCCACCCTTGCTTCATTTACATGACCCTTTAAGCTCGTGCATTGGATTGGATGAAGCCGAGGGGTGGCAGTGATGTGCACTTTATTTGCTAAAGTTGACCCGAACGCATAGCACAAATCTCTCCTCTATTCGTCATTTTGGTGCATCTTATACTGTCACTTTTTGTTGTCATTTCACCATCGAGTGGAGTTAAGATTTTTATGTGAAGCTCTAAACGATGCTTGCCATCGAATGCATCCACTTAGAAGGTAGTTTCATTCTGCGACTTTCATTTTGTCCACTCCGTATCCACTCCATCGTCATCGTTTGCTTTACGGTTTAGGTCACTTTTTAGCCTTCTGCTGGTTCTATTTTTTTTTTTTATTTCTTAAGAACGCGGTCACTGGATTTTTCTTTTTTAACTCCTTTGGCTCGTTCATATTTCCTCTCCGCTCTACGGTCCGCAAGTCCGCGGGCCTGGTTAAAATACTATTTGCCTACAACTTTTAAAAATCATTTTGAAGGGAATGAAATGTGATGCTAGAGCTACGTTTCTTTCACCTCCTTTAACACTTTTTCTCTTTCATAACAATTTTCGATAGGCACAATTTTCTTACCTCAGTTGGTGGCAAGTTAAATCATTCCTACCTCTTCTGGTCCCTTCACTCCTTTCACAATTTTGTGGTGTGGGTGGACTTGAAGGGTTCTGTGTGCTTGCTGTGCGTCTGGATGAAGGCGTGCATCCCTCGGTGCTGCGGATGTGCAGTACCGAAAGGCAGTACTACTCGCCTTGACGGTTAGACACGACTTACTTGGTGGCAAATACGCTTCTTTTTCCTTTTTTTCTCTAAAGTAATTGAGGAAATTGAGTTAGTAATAATTCTAGCTGCGGTGGTCAACATTTCGAGGTAAGGCGTAGCAACCGACAATGGGTGACTAACTTCTGTTTTGTTTTATTTATTTTGTTTTGACTTCAGTGTCTCCTCGAACAGAGTGGAGCGACTACGATGAGGTGGATTATGCTCGTACCCAGTGGCTGCAGTCCCTAAAACCCAACAATGGTCCCGACTGCATCATCAATCGTTGCATCAAATCACCTCAGGTGACACTGTACGAATCGGTGATTGTCCTTCGTTTGCAAGACGTCGTTGCTACGTGTGTGATGTTGGAAAATCAACGCGAAGATGAGCGTTGGCCTCTGCCGGTTGGGAATACTCACACCTACAAAAGGCGCACCATTATTGAGGCCTTTGATGAAGAGCAGCAAAGTCTCACCTCTAACACCTTCTTTGCCTCCGACACCGAAATGCACAAGCTACCGATGAAGGCGAGCCTTATTTCCATTGACTTGACCCAATGCTTTGCGCATGGCATCTCCGATGTAGGTACGTGGTTTTTTCACTCCCTTTTATTTTTATTTTTTTTTTCGTTTGTATCACACTTTGCTATATTTTAAGTCGTCCAACCTTTCTCACCTCAAAACATTAA